CAAAACTACAAGAGAGTCCTGGAGGATGGAGCTGAATGTAAGTGTCCTTATCTCTTGGTGACATTTTACTACTTCTCACAGAGCCAGAAAGACTATAAAACACTGGCTGATTGTACAAGTTAGAATCCCTGCTCAGCCTTAGAAAGAAGACATTGTAGAAACTGAGGTGTTCAATCTCTCTGAAAACTAAGGAGTATTTCCTTTGAGCACGATTCCCAGGGCGAATTCCAACACCACGTCTAAAAGGTATAAATCCAGAGTATCTTCATTGTCTTCAGAATCTGGGCATGGAGAGTTTGAGTACTTACATAATGTTGTATTGTGGTGTCAAAATAACAAGCTTTCCAAAAATTGTGTACCTGATGCAGTTATTTCCCCAGCTGTTCCTAGAAACTCTATTGATTAATTTAATAACCCTGGGCGCTAAGCCCAGAATTATCCTTAATAAAAATGTTTTTCTACTATGATGATTTCCTTTACTCAAACTTAACATTGTTTTTATAACTGGACCCTTTGATTACATGTATTAATATGTATGGCTAAAAGAGAAAGGAACAGAATTTTAGACTGATGCTGAGCAAGCCATTATTCTTAATTCCCCAAGCCAGTATTTGTATCAGAGTACAGAAGTCCTGGCTCCCCCTTAATAAGATACCAATAATTTTGCAATGCATAATGCGCTTTCAGCCTGACAATTAGCCATTCATTCATTCAACCAGTATTATTCAAGATCAGCCACTGGACAAGAATGTTAACATCACAGTTTGTTGATTGATATTCAACAAGAAGTGTAGCCTCTTGTGGGACTAATGAAAATGACATTACAAAGCACTCAAAACAACTCCAGCACATTGGCACTGCATTTCAGGAACAATTACTAGGTTTATTTTTTTCCAGGCTAGACATTCCCAAACACAGAATTCAGAAGTGGAACCCCGCACTGCTTGCTCTCAGAAAAACAAAGGATGTTCTTGTTCAAGCCAGCAAGTGACCCGTGGCATGTGTTTAAGTTCCTTGCTGCATCGGAGCATAAGCCAGGTGTAATACCAGTAAATTCAAGGTTTGCCATAGCAAACGCCTTCGTAAAACTGCTCTGAGCAAAATCAGAATCCATTCAGGCATCTCTCTCTATCATATGCTGTTGAGATGCCTTAGATCAAGCAAAGTTGGTCCCAAATAATCATAACTGCCTCTGTATCTTGCACTATATTGCAGATATTTCCTATATGTTAATATTTATACTAATGATGACCCATTTGATAACCTTGTTACTAAATTAATATTCTAAGACCAATAGATATTTTAGTTGACTTGGTTAATCAGAATCTGCTTCCATTAATAAAAGTGATCCAGGTGGCCAATGATATTCTGCTTGAGTGCCTGTGAAATCCCTCGCTTACCAGTTACTGAGTAAGCTTGTGATTTGCTTTGATACACGGTGCCATTACAATTTTCTTGATGTCTGCAACATAGACTAGTCTTGAGATCTGCTTCTTTCTGTAGTTTTATGAATATTAACCTTAGATACCCTATATCTGAAAACACACACACCACACACTGATTTTCAGAGGTGCCTTGGCCTCTGCTAGCCACTGGAAGGAGGATTAGCCATGGTCCTATATTTTCCCTGTCTTCTTGGGTGTGGCTAGTGCCCTGGAGGGAGTGGTGGGCACTAACAGGGAGCAGTGCTTGTGCTCAAGGGCATGCAGGGACTGCAGTTGTATCTGATCACTTTTTGGGGAGTGGCTGTCTCAAGTTATTGCCTTGTAAATTAGAGTTACCCTTCGGTTATCATGATATTCTTGCAATTTTCAGTTGCGAGAGTTGCTTGGTTGAGAATTTGAACAGAGCCACGCCATCATCAACAAACTTAATCATCACCAAATGGCTCTCAGCAATCAGTATGTCCAAAGCCATCTTATCAGATTACATGGCTAGGGTTAAGATAGCCATTGTTTTTTGTTACAGCCATAATTGCATTTGTTCAGTGAAGATTAATGGAATGTCGCTGTTATATAGACATAGATAAAATATTCATGGCTTATTTGTTGCTAAATGAGGATTAATGGGTTTTTTAATGCCACGTTCCTTAGTGTTAAAATACAAATCAGTTATTTCTTGATGCGATTGGTGCTAGCATTTCACTAATATTCCCCAATGGAATTATGCAATCATTCACAGCAGTAGTCTGGCAACTCTCAGATGAATGTTAGCACCAAAATTTTCAGTTAATGGACTTTAATGTACTCCAGTTGCCAACGCCATTAAACAAACTTATATCAGCAGTGGCCTTATAATAACAGTGCACTTCTACACTCTGCTTTCATTTGATTTTCAACTGTGTGAAAAATATGGAATTTGTCTGAGCACAAAATTATTTTGTAATTTTAGGAGAATACATTCAAGCATTAGCCCACAGGAAGTCAGTCATTATCTGTGAATAATGACTGGCTGGTAGCAAACAGCCCAAAGCAAAGCCAAGATTAATTTTGTATCCAAACATCAGCAGTTAAAGTGTGGCCGAGCAGCTGTATTTGTAAATCAGCTGTCACCGAAAATGTCACAAAATGCAGGTCATATTGTGAAGCTGCAATTTGGTTTAACTGAGCATCAATAAATAATTGTAGCATAGTGCTAAACTTAAAAGCTGGCTGGCCTTAGGGGACTCATTTCCCATTTGCGAATGAATAACCAGCCTACTGATGGAGAACCCATGCTGAAATAGGGTTTTTTCTGGACTCTGGATGGTATTTAGAACATTACATATTAATGAAAAGGAAACATAGAAACCTGTTAATGAAGATCTCTTCGGTATTTTACATCTTACTTTGTCAATGTGGAGTTAAATTGGGTATTCTTGCTGGCACAGCATATGGCACTTTTTCTAGATTCTTCCATTCTGTTTCAGTGGAGCAGCAGGGTGAATTTGATAAGATATCAAGCAACTAGCATTTCAGAGTTCTGGCCAGAATCATTTTTGTAATCCATTTCTTCATGCAGCAGAGAAGAGACAACCTGCTACTACGCTGGGAGCAGCAAAGAGAGAATTCCAAGATTCTGCATTTGGGTCTGTGAAGCTGGAGATTAAAGCACCACCATTCCCCACCCTCCTAAACCTTGTTGATGTCCCTTTGTGCATGCGCATAAGGGCCCATTACATTCAAGGCTGTTCTCAGTTGAGAAAGGAAGATACCAATTTTTGGCAGATGTGATGGAAGCTGAGGTTTCAGGAAGTCAACTCCGGCAGCCAACAATGTGGAAGGCTGCTTACCTACTGCTACTAAAGAGATTAGGAGAAGGTTCCCACTGCAGACTGTGTGTCCACTAAGAATCTATTTGTTTAGATTTATTCGTATATTAAAAAGCAAAATAAATCTATCCCAAGCATCTGCACTTTTAATATATCTTTAAAATCATATTAATTAATGTGAGATAGAGGGCTTGATTTTCCAGTCCTTTGCACCAGATTAAGATAGGAGTAAATCTTCTCAATCCAGTGGAGTTACATCAGTGAAAACAGATCTGAAAAAAGAATCAGGCCTAACAAGTCCATACCAAGAATGAGTAACTACAGTAAATCAGGTCTTGAAAATGCCTATAGTACATTTGGATTTTATAACATTTGAGGAATAAACAATAACAAACATGTCTGCATCATGGTTTCTTAACATTCTACATAAAAACTCTAATATTTTGATATCTGTCAAACACACACATATGGCCCCCCACTACCATAATCTCAGAGTACTTCACAATCTTTAACTAATTGATCCTTAAGTTACAACACCCCTAAGTGGCAAGGAAGTGCTATTATACCCATTTTACAGATGGGGAACTGAGGCACAGAGAGACAAGTGACTTGCCCAAGGTCACACAGGAAGTCTGGAGGAGCAGGGACTTGAACTTGAGTCACTGGCCAGAATTCTAATCACCGGTCCATCTTTCCTCTCTGTATTTTGTTGTCGATCAAAAGATATGTAAAAAGAAACTAACAAATGCTGTTCATAACCAGGGATGCTGGAAATTTTTTTATAGTGGGGGTGTTGATGATGGAAACCATGTATAAAGTGTTTGTTATTCTTCTTCAAGCCCGGGGGCATGGCAGCATCCCCAGTACCCCTAGTTCCAGCACCACTGTCCACATAAATATATGCTTAGTAATGTAATCAACGAGTTTAGATCATATTTTACCCTCCTCGTCGATGAACAGCTGATACAGGAATCCAGCATATCCCAGCCCAATGGGTTTGGAAGAGGGCATGGGAAAAAGATGTCTGCATGATATTCTTCCTCCACTTCTCTCCACCAGGCCTTAGCAAGGGCAGAGATTGTTAAAGATTCATACTTGAGAAAGAGTGGATAAAGACAAGCCAGTGATGGGGCTAAAATGAATGGCTAGAGAGATGGCATGATACCCCCACCAAGCCAGAGAAACTCTGTGGGTAAGTTAATACTGATCCATGAGTCAGCATTAACCTACCCATCTCTACCATCTGAGAGAAAGGACTCACCCCTAGCAGTACAACTTCCATAGAAATCAGCTTGAAAGAGGGCTAAAGAGGGACCTGGAACCCAGTGCCTCACTATATGTTTGTATAGTGTCAGAGCCAGGAATTTCTCTGTCTTGATATGCCCCAACATCACCAGCCCCAAGAGTTCACAAGTCATGGGTCAGACCTCCCACCTCCCCCACAAAGATTGCGTGATTGGAAAAGAATCATGGGATGTTTTATTTAAGAGATTAAATCATGATTTTTGGCCTGTCTCCTGAATTCTGAACTCCTCGGACCAGTGTTGCCAATTGTCACAAGTCTTTAGAAAGGTGATTTTGGCACTTGCTAGAGGGCCCAGCCAAGACTGGGGTCCCATTGCACTAGGCACCATACAAACACATAAGAGGTACCAAATCCATCCTGGAAAACTTAGAATCTGGTGCAAAATGTAGTGGTGAGTTTGTGACAGATCCACCAAACTCAGATACACGAGATACCAAATACCCATTAGATGGAACCAACTTTTAATCCTGCCCAGTTCAGCTGGTTTCCTACAGCTGGAAGGCTCTCAAGCTCATCAGCACAGTCTTGGAGTATCCGGGCCCCATGAACACTAATGTTACATCTTTGAGAATTAGGCTTGTTTTCTGGAGATACAAGGTTTATTAAATCAATTCTGGCCTCTTTGGAGCTGACACATGCAGTCTTTCTAGTCTCGGGACACGTAGGCAAAATCCTCCAAACACATTCGCAGTCTGCCCCTGGTCTTAAAGGGGTAGCTGCCATTAACCAAAATGCAAACCTGAAAAATGCAACAGTAAAGCAAATATTAACAGTGTCCAAAATCACCTCTCAGTTCAATGTTTTGTGATTACAAAATTGTTTGAACAATTACTCTAGGGTTCTTATACGTACATACCGTACATATTTTTTTGCCCCCACATGGGTCAATCAGCAGCAGATCCACCATACAAACTTCTGCCACTTCGGTTATAGGACAAACCTCTACCAGGAGACACTGCACACACTTTGCTAGTGGGTTACACAAGTATTTGTGGGGCAGTAATGGAATGCCGGGCATCAAGAATCTTTGATTCATTTCCTGGCTCCAGGAGCAGATCGTAGTCTAGAAGCTACAGACATCAAATATAACAACTCCCCCATCTGGCTTGTTTGTGGGGATTCAACCTGTGACCTTTGGGGATTAAATGTGTATGAGTTACTACCACTCAAGCTAAACAACCTGATCCCTTATCATGTAAGAAGTGGCAATTATATGTGGTCTGTAATAGCCACTGGAGGGTGACGCAGCACCAGACTCTTAGTGTAAATCACAGCAGCACCTAATTTGAGCTGCTACTTGCAAAAAACAAACAAACAAACAAACAAAACCCCTGTGAGATAATGCAGATAAGAGTCGGCTTTAGTATATTAAAGACTGAGGTTCTATTCCCAGCTCTGTCTAAAGTGGCATCATGCCAGCTTTCAATTATCTTAGCTAGTGAATGGCTAGTCATCGTCATCCCCCTGGGATTGCAGTGTGAGGCCTTGCTTCAGAATATTTCTTTGCTTAACAGCCCCTAACAACTGTCAGTGAAAGAGCTGGGACTAAAATTCATGGTTTCTGGGCTTTCAGTTTAATGCCTCTTCTGCCTAGATTCTCCCTCTCCCAAGCTGTGTGAAGGCTGGAATCTTTTGCAGCATTGCAAGATTGCCCGCAGCAGGGACCACACCCATCATATCCCCTGCATCACAAGCTGTGGGGAGCTGTGAGGCGCTGCGGATGCCAGGTGGAAGAATCCCCAGTAGGGGACTTGTATCAGTCTCCACTTCCTTTGCGCCACCTGAACAGCACAAAAGGAGCGGAATAGGAGCGAAAATCTGCTCTGAAGTATTGATTGTGACCCTTTCACCTTTTGACATATTACGTTGGCTACTCAGACTGAGAAGGTTGGACGCAATTGATCCAAATCAAAAAGCAGCCTATAACTCATATAACTACGCAGCATTCCCAACCACAAGTGTTCAAAAAAATCAGGAGCCAGGCCCTAAAAAAAAAGTAATGATTTTTAGCTTAAGAATCCATGAGATGTTAAAGAAATTGGATTATTTTTATTTGCCTTCCCGATTGAGACTTCAGGGTGCTTTTGGGTCATGTTTTCAAGCTTTTCTCCATAACACAAGAACTAACAAACTTATTTTTTAGAGAAACTACTAACTGAGAAACTCACCTTTTAACATATTTCCAGGAGCTGGAGAATATAATTGAGTGTGTTGGCAACAGTGAATATAGTACAGTGACGTGTGTTTTTGAAACAAATATGATTTATGCTCATGTTACCCAAACCAGAAAAAAGAGTTTACTACCAGCATAATACTTCCTGATGGGTGGATATTATACACTATAGTCTTACTCAAGCAGAACCATTTACCTTTACTGCCGATCAATAATTTTTCCATTACTATTGCAACAATATAAGTATTACTGGAGTGAAGCTATACAATTATTTCTACATCAGACTAATTCCCCAAAAGCAGTCAATATTTTAAAGTATCTCTAATAGATAGGGATTAGATCTTCCATAGGTCTGAACATGCAGATACTGTGTGAAATAAGAGTAAGAAACTCTTCAACCTTAAGTTTCTATAATGGCATTAGGTTTTTTTCTTTATTGTGCTTCTAGTTTTCTTCTTTCCTTCACATTTTCCAGGTTTGATTTCTATTTTTAAGGATGTAGGTTTCTGTTAAATATAATCCTTAGTTAAAATAGCCACTCTCTCCATAAATAATCTTCACCCCCAGAAAAAATATGTGCTGCATATCTTCATGGTATTTGAAAGAGTGCAGCTTAATGTCTTATCCTGGATCCCCTTCCCAAATCTCCCACTGATTTCAGTAAGAGATTGAGGAACACAAGAAATGCAAGACCGAAAAGGCAGATTACCTTTCCACTGACAGTAGTGGATGCTGCCTCAGTTTACCCACTAAACAGTCTACCTCAGGCTGGTCAGGTGATTTGTCCCACCAGCCAGATCAAACAGTCCAAATGAAACAGATGACTATGCTAAAAAAAGAGACCTTAATCCTTTTTGGGCCAGACCTGCTCTCCTAGGTCTATGCTATGTTCACCCCCCCCCCTTTTTTTTTATCAGAAGGGTCATACAATACTTCACCCCCTTCCCCCAGGGTGCAGCTCCTCTGAGTGCTTGTCCTTGGTTGCAGGTCTTTCAACACCATAGGACAGCAAGTGCCCTCTCTCTACCATGGGTCATATCCCTAGAATTCTAGACCATGAGCCAGCTGTCCATGGCACTCAAAACAACACTGTTTCACTTTCCCCCAGTCCTTCCAGGGTTGTCAGAGCTCAAGAGCACAGTTAAACACAAGTGAACTCACATACGTTTGTGGTAGGACTCTTCCTCCAGGGAGTCTCTGGCAGGCTGTAGCCCTGTCAATTCCCAAAAGTAAGTTTTTATTACTAGTGTGAAAGCACTGGAGGTCTCCTTTCCCTCAGGAGAGGGGCCAATGGGCAGCAATCACCCAAGCAGTTCCTATCTTCTACCAAGTCCTCCCCAGGAGCTGAGGACTGAAGCCCTGCTCTCTCCCTCCAGTTTGCCACCAACTGAGCTGGGCTTCTTCTTGTTACAGCCTCCCTCCAGGCCTGACATGCCTTTCAGGGGCAACAGGGTTGGACTGCTCTCACCCGGAGCAGTTCCTTAATCCTTGTCTGGCAGTTGTGTGGTTTGTACACTCTGTCATACTGTGGCTGCCCAAATGTGGACCAGGCACTGTCTCAGCATACAACAGCCTCCTCACAGAATGAAGAAAAAGTATAACAAAAAAGAGAACAGAAAGGAAATGAGTGAGGAGGAGATTAGTGTTTCTCAACTGTGCTATTGAATGTCTCTTTCATGAATTTTCCTCACCAGGAATCAAATTGATGGGGGTATGGTCATGGTACTCTTCTAAATTTCTCCCCCAAAATAAGATCGTAGGGCTTGGCTCTATCTTAATGGGGGGAGTGTGGAAATGAGTGGTGGTATCTCCCACACACCATCTATTTGTGGTACCAAAATAAGACATCTCTCACACAGTGAGTTGTGTGGAACTGTGAGCCACACTCTCCATTCTTGAAATTTAACAAAGTTGGCATATATATTAATATTACCAACACTGGGTATCTGAGTTAACACCTTGCTGAGATGAATGGGGCAGTTCACACTCTAAGACTTCTCATTCCAGGCTATCAGCATACGTCTCTGTGTCAGTTAACCTCAAAATTCAAAACTGAGTGTTTCTTCACAACTGTAACAACTTGAGACTTCCTTTGTTTTTTAATGAAATCTGAGATTCTGGAGCACCAGATAGTAGGTTCAACAAGGTACTGGGATATAGGCATATATCCTGCCCTTCACCTACTTCAAGTATAAGGACTCATAGTGTGGAACATTGGCACAGACATAGACAACTCTCTGTCTCTTCCATCTCCCTCCATATTAGATTTTTTTCTATAGCTTCCATCCCCACAGTATCTAAACACTAGACAATCCACTGTATTATACGCAAGGAGCTAAATTTTCAAAAAATACATGTATAGTTGTAGACCTAATTTTTGGACACAAGTCAATTACTATGACTGTACTCACAATTACAGTAATTACATGAGCAAATGACCAGTTTCATGTGTAACTAACCATTTGCATGAGCAGTTTGACTGTGTGCAAAATCATGGTAATTGTGTGAACATTTTTTCTGAAAACTTAGACCAATATGCCACCTTGTGACAATGCAAGTGATCCTGGAAGCCAAGTACAGGAACTCCGGAGGATTTCCCACAATTTTAAACTGAATACTGAAAGTATCTTCTCTTGTCACCTGGGTGTACTTTTCAGTGAGACATGATCTCACTGCTTTTATTATGCAGGAAAGGCTTTGGAGTCTATGGCCATGTGTTTCACAATTTGACTGTCAGGTTCCTGAGAAGGGCAGTCAGGGCCAAGGGTCAGAGCAGAGTCAAACCTGAGGCTGAGTAGTGGAGAAGTTCCAGGCCAGTGTCAATACCAAAGATCAGAATCAAAGTCAGCTTTCAGGGTCTAGGTCAGGCGGTGATGTCCCAAACAAGGCAAGGACAAAGGCAGGAGTTCACAAGCAGGAATGATTATGGCAGCTACAGAAGACCCATACTGCTGCCTGAACATTTTCTTAACTGCCCCTTGGCTTTAAATAGGGCAGGGAGCCAATCAGCAGCAATGAGGTTGCTGCCTATCATACCCCTTGAGGTGGGACTTCTCATGGCCTTTGTCCACCAAGTCATGGGTAGTGGAGTGCAAGCTAGTTATTGCTACTGCTGTGTGGCAGCATAGTTTGCTACCTAGCAGTTCTGCAGGCCTAGGTTCAAGAATTTAGGCTTTACATTGACATCTGTGCTAGTAGTAATGCTGTCACTCTTATGGCCATAAAATTGCTGACAAACATATCTATGCTGCATTCTTGTTTTTTATTCATTTTAAATTAATTTGCTTTGTCTTTGCTTGTCCCCCTTTTGTGTTTGCTTTCTCTAAATATTCTAAATGCATTTATTATCTGTCTTGGTTATTAAATAGTCTCCCTCAAGAACCACCCAAGTATTTAAAAATAGAAACAGGACAATAGTCATCGCTGTCTCTCTTCCTGCGCTACAGGCGGTTAGGTAAAATGACTTGTTTAGTTTACAAGAATGCTCATTTATGATTGTATGTGTGTGTGTAGGTATATTTTGTGTATGTGTGAGAGAGAGAGTGTGCAGAAATTAATGAAGGCAA